ACACTAAATTATTAGGTTGGATATAAGCTTTTGAGTTAAGACTAGGCTTAGAATCCTAGGCCATTTCTAGTTTCAAAAATCTCAAGTTACCTTTTGACTCAGTTAAAAAGAACAAAGAAAATGAGTTATTTCTCTCCTCTTGGGCTTAAATTTCGATATTTGCATTACCAAGGAATGCCTGTTTGTATCAGCCTGCAGTTTTTAATCATGTTCAAACCATACTTAAGATGCTATTTTCTCTCTGTAACCTCTCCAGATCTTTCTAAAAAAATTAACCTCTCTGTAACACTTTGAGAGCTAGCTCATCTTCAGACATTCCTAAGGCTCAAAGATAGCACAACCAAAAAAGCAGCTTACATAAAACTGAGCTTCCTATTTGACTTCCCACAGTGTTACTAATTACCCTTGGGTGAAAAACCCTATCGGCCTTAGGATGTAATCTAAGGTCTGTAAGAGTTATGTCCTAAGACAGTTCATACTGCTCAATATACATATCCAGCTCTATTTCTCATTACTCTCCATTATGGTTTCACCCTGGGCCAATTCTCACAGATCTTTCCTTTAAAGTTGTTAAAGTATCATCCCAATGTCAAGTGACAGTGAATAACCTAGTAAATGATCACAGCACTGTGATTCAAAGGATCCAAGTCAAAAAGCCCTGTTGTGACATCACCTATTTATCCAATCTGCAGGCAGTTGGAGAATCACATGAAATTTCTGTTAATACAGCACCCTTGAACATATATCCTGAATTGATGTGATAAATACTAAGGCAGCCAGCTGCTCTGTCTGGCGGGGGGGGGGGGGTGGGGGTGGGGAGGAACTTATCTAACTATGCTTATCTGCCTGAATTTTTGAGTTGGACAGATGTTACACTTGAATGTCAAAAGCATTATGAACTCAATTCTTTCTCTACTCAATCCGTCCTGACATTCAGTAATGACCATTAGCACATTTTAAACTTGGGACATGTGAGCTACATTACACCATCTCAACCATTATTTTGTCAGTATTCATTGCAGAGTGACACTTTCAGTTTTATGTTAACTTTGAGATAAGGAACATAATAAATCTGTCCTGGTTTCCTTACCTGTATGACAAATAATGTTGGTTAGCCACAATTTAAGGAAACCTAAAATACAACAAAATGTAAACAGGATAGGCACTACATAGCACTTTTATCCATGTCACATATATTTCAACCCAACATAGATGGATTAATCTGGTTATTTCTAACAAATTCTCACCTCAGTATTTTTAATATTTTAAATTTTCCTAAAAGCTAAAATCAAAACAAAATGTTAAAAATACCCACAACCAGCCTGGTGTGGTGGTGAACACCTGAAATCCCAGCACCCAGGAAGCTGAGGCAGGACAGTAACTGAGGGTTTGCGATCAGCCTGGGTTACCTAGTGAGCTCGAAGGCCAGCCTGGACTACATGGGGAAACCATGTCTCTCTCTCACACAGACACTCACAACCTTGCGATGTATCGATCTAATAGTCTCCAATTTTCAAATGTTCTCTGTAACATGTCTTGATACAGTACTAGATTTAAACATTATCAAATCTGTGAAAAATGTGCAAGAACAGTGTTCTGGTTTGTGTCTGGATGTCCCCCAAAGCCTCATGCAGCCATGGGGGATGGCTCTTTGGAGGCGGCTGAATCTATAGTTTGAGTGGTTCATTGTCTAGACCTGGGCTCGGGGGTGTGAGTGCTACACCTGCTCTAGGGCAGGCAGCCTGCATACAATGTAAGGGAGAAAAAGAAGTTTGCCCCTGCTCTTCTCTTGTTGCTTTTGGTATCTTCTACTGACATGAACTGTTGCCCTCTGCCATGTGCCACCCTGTGTTGGAGTCAGCCGAGTATGGACTGAAACCTCCTCAAACTGTGAGCTAAATAAATCTCTTCTCCCGTACCGTTATGCCACCAGTGTCTGATGGTTTGTTAAGGGGAACAGCTAATGATTAAAAGTTTTCTTTTTTTAATATTTTGACCAATTTTGCATGCTTATATCTGATAATCTGAGCAACTTACGTGACAACAATAATTTGCAGTGTAATATCCATTGGTGAATTCCTACAATCCTGCCTAGTGACACTATGTATTGTTTCTAATGTTCTTTTAAATTATTATTTTCTTATTCCCTTGAATGATTTGATCAATCTTCCACTCTTACATCTGGTAATCCGGGCAACTTTGTTGAAGATAACAATATACAACAACCACTGTTGACCTCTACCATTTGGTTTGAAACTCTGTATCATTTTTAATGTCCTTGCTTTCTGTTGTTTATATTTTGCTATTGTTCTTTTTTTTTTTGGTACTAGTTTCTTTTAAAAAAAAAAAAAAAAAAAAAAAAAAAAAAACTCTCCTCCCTTAATTTTGGGCATTTGGTATTTTCTCTCAGCAGTGAGAAAACTAACCAGGACAAACAGATATTTCTTACCAAACAGTGAGAGAATCAGATTACTTAAGACCTTTTGGTTCCTAGAGATAACATTAGGTCTAGCTAGAAGGTGCCTCAAGAAAAAGAAAGTTTTCTAAATGCATCAATAACTAAGCCTATAACTTAACCTGAAACTGGAAATGCTTAAATATAGAATTCTAGTAAAATATGATTCTAGTCTCACATGCCAAAATATTAAGATACAAAATAGAATTATCATAGTTTCATAAGCATATTTTAATTTTTTGAATTTTAACAATTCAAGTAAAAGCCAGCTAGTTAACATAAACACAGAATAAATGCACATAATTTATAGCCATGTACATAAATGCAATAGCAACTCATATGAATGGGCAAAAGTTATCAATTCTTTTGAAGTTCACTATTTAGGTATAACTTACATATCATAATTGTTCACATACACTGGGGTACACATTCAAAAAGTCTGTTAACATAAAAACAGAACTAGAATTTTCAGCTTTTAAGAGTAGCAAAAAAATCAGTGTACAGATTGATGGGAAATATAAACACAAAATGGAGAAGAGATTTGATGGACAGAAAGCACATTGTATTTTATATATTAAAATTTCTTCCAACTTAAATCATTCAGAAATATGTATATTCTTAGGAATGTTAAAGTCATGATCAATACTACAGAAAAGGCTGGCTGTTATTTATCAGCCCCAAAGGGGTCCCTAGAATACTAAGTTTGGGCAGAAGAGCATGTAAACAACAAAAAGGTAATAGGCATGAAGGACTCTAGAAGAGGAAGGGATAGACTGATTTCTAAAACTTAACTCTTTCAAATTCAAATCAATACCTTTTCTGTGACTTAAAACATGTCTAAAACCACAAAATATTTATACTCAGTGAAAGAGTAAACATTCATTACTCTACAATGCCAAACTCCTCTGGCCTTAACACCCACAGCGGGTATTAGGTTTTAGGAAACAGGAGGTTCTACCATGGTTTCAGAGTTTCAAATCCACTTGGGCCTTGTCTAGTAAAGTTTGTTCTAGCAAGTTACACGATGGGAATCATGAGAGAAATTTCAGGGTAGTTTCCTCTACACTAAAAGCACTGTATAACGCAATCCCAAGGCTGGTGCTCCTCATCTCTGGAACCATTTCTGAGTGTTAAGGGCAGAAAAGTTTTATCAGCCGTGAGGGTGTGCTTTCAGTGTCTACCACTTGAACCTGAGCTCAATTCAATTTTCTAAGGAAACTGTAATAAAAATACATACCACTCGGGAATGTGACTATCTCTGTATCAGAAAATTTTAAAGTTATCTGACGGCAAACAAATGTACACAACCTATAGTTTTCAAAAAGTCCAATAGTTTTGAATATGCATCTTCTTCCTAAACAGAATCAATTTTTTAAATCTTCAAAGAAATACTTTGAGAGACAAACTTTATATGTAACTTCTACATAATTTTCTTTCTTTAACTGTCTCCATCATTTGTAAAGTATGGCAGACTGCATTTGGGGGGTGAGAAACAGTACAATGGACATTACTGCTCCTTTGCAGTTGTTGCACAAATAAAATCTGAAACTCTAAAATCTCTTTTCCTTCCAATAATACCTAATACTTTAAAAAAAAGCTGAGGGCTGGGGATTTAGCTCAGTGGCAAAAGTGCCTGCCTGGCAAGCGCGAGGTCGTGAGTTCGGTTCCCGGTACCGGAGAAAAAACCAAAAAAAAAAATAAATAAATAAAAAAAAGCTGAATACGGTGCACTAAATGTCAGTGTAAGCTTTACTTGCTAAATATAAACAGAAGGACACTTGTCATGAATTTGTTAAAACTAAATAAGATGTTGCTTAGTTGCTGGTTTTTGTATCATTCTTCATCATTTGTGGGGCATTGAGATCGTAAAACTAGGGAGAGTGTGTCCTACATTCAACATAATTAGTGTTTATGGATCTTCACAAGGCAAATGGCACACTGTATTAGGCAGTATAAATGGCACCTGAAAAGGCAAACATTATAGATTGAGACCTTCTCTACTGACTGAAGTTAGAAACTCCTGTTTTGGGACGGTTGGGTTTTTTTTGGTATGTTCTCACAATAAACACAAAGCTGAAATTTATCATAAAAGACATTAATAATAATTCCAAAGGTAATCACTGAATTTGCCTTTGGTCTCCAAATAGACTGGAATAGTTTAAATTCCAACTAAGCACCTCAAAAACATCCAGTTATTGTTGATCACAAGGAAATCAAGGGGAAATCTAAGAGGGTATTATGTTCATTGGTGACAGCAGAGAAAATTTGCAGTGCTTCTCCATAATGTTTTTGGAAAATAAAGCTGCTTTTCCATAATGTTGTGGCACTACAATATACACAGAATACTTAACACATTTTAAGATATTCAAAAACATCTAAAACCAAACCCTGAAGAATGTTATAAACATAACTGTTTCTGCCTAACACATGAACAGTATTTTTTTTTAAGTCAACATGAAATTCTCTCCTAAATCTCTTACCCTCAAAAAAGGCCACAAAGTGCATCCACAAAGTCAGTCTTAAAATAAAGCCATTGCACAAAATGTGAAGTTAAGGTATACCAAAATGAATACCACACTGGAGTTTAATTGTAGAAATCTCATACACCAGGAAAGCATATCCATAGGCAAAATCTCCTAACAGTATTATAGCAGACATCTTCATAAAGGCCATACAAATGATACATGTGAAGTATTAAAAGGTACAGATGACTCAACAGTAAAATTTAAAAATTATATCCTATTAGCACATTTAACCCAAATGAACCTGAATCTTACTATGATATACCAGTCAGGAAACTAGGTCAGAATAAATTTCTTCGTCAAAATCAGCTTGTTCATTTACAAGTCAATTAATACTGCCTGCTGAGTCAAACAGCAGAGGGCCCCTCTTCTATAGTATTTATTCTGCCCCAGATATTAACATCACATTCAAAAAAACCTGTAAGGGTCAAACTGAAAATTATCATTTTCTCTACCAAATAAGTGTAATCTATGCTGACCTGGAAATAAATTCAGGTCCAAATTTTTAATGTGAAACAAACAGAAAAATTCAGAAACAGTAAATTTTTCTAATTTAAGTAAATGATATCTAGGTATGATGGGTGATAATTCATGCTCAAAACTAGTAAATTACTGAAAAGACAAATGCACTCATTCATTTTCTGTAATATCAGAGAAGATACAGGGCATATTTAAGTAACTGAGATGGTCAAGAGTCAGTATTTTATTGGTTAATGTTATATTCTTCAAAGTATTGTGAGTTTTATATGGTAACAATTTCAAGTCCACATTATGCTAAACATCAAGCACCTGTTAGCTGAAGAGACTCAAACATTTCAATACACAAGATATTTATACTATAGTTCCTTGGTTGTCAAAAATAGTGATTACTGGTGCCAAATACTTAAATTAAAATATTGTGCCAAGTCATCTCAGCAAGATGGGAATACTGAGGATCTACCAATTATTGTTATCTTACAGTATTATAGGAATTGAAAGTCAGAAGTTATATACTTATGTCAATACTACCTTTGGATAGCTACAGTACAGTGTATATATAAGGATGGCTTTGTTTAGAAGACTGGAAAAATGCTCATGGAATAAACACTATTATCTCAATATCATAGGTCAATAAAACACAACTGTATCTGGTGGACGTGGTAGAGAAAATGGCAACTTTAACAAAGGAGTGCTTCCAAAGGCATTTCCTTTAGAGGTGGCTATTTTTCCACATTACAAAAAGACTAAATAATGCGGTGTGGCTATCTTAACCAAACTTCCATTTAGGTATAGTTATGGTATATGTTCCCAAACTACTATTCTTTCTGTCCACCGTGCTGGCTCCAATATTCCATGATCCATTGTAATCTTTTGGTCTTCCTTCTTTTGTAGTGTGGCAGCCTGTGCTGCTATCCATTCAGTAGGTAGACCACCAATTCATAGGTGGCCATCATAATGGCTGTGTTTGGAATTTGTCTCACCAAGTGAGTTGTTAGACCACGGTAGAGTGACCCATAACCTTCTTCTTGAACCACCAAAGACAGTGTCTGAAAAAAGGATCTGTATTTTGTTCCTTCTTCACGTAATCTTGTTCTTACAACTTCTGTTTAGGAAAGAAATAAAATCGATTTAAAAATTACTGATTTCTTTAAACTCTAACTATACTGAATATACCACATTTGTCAATATGTAAGTAGCTCAGGATAAATCATTTTTTTAAACATATAGCTTACTGAAAGTAGTCATAGTAATGGCAAATTTCTAATATAGCCAGTATCACATACAATTATATTTAAGATAAACACAAGGGAAAATAGACGTGATAAGGAGAAAAGAATGAAGAAGCAGGAGTAGAGTACTATTAAAGATGAACATGCAAGGACACGATGACAGGAAAGATTTTTTTAAAAAAGCAAATAGTACAAAGGAAATATTACTAATGTACTCATAGCAGTCCACATATACTAACATAAAACAATGTGTGGACAAAGAAGTTGAAGATGTCTAGGACACCAGCTGCCAGGGATAAAGCCAAGGCTGAGAATCAAGTAAGGAAATATCACAACCTTTTAATAGATGAACAGATCCTCAAGATCAGTCCCAATTTATCTTTAATTTAAATGTTAAGAAATTGAGCTGGGGATAAAAGCTCAGTGGTAGAGTGCTTGCCTAGCATGTGTTTAATGTACAGTACAAGTGCTTAAATGAATGAATGAAAGAAAGAAAGAAAGAAAGAAAGAAAGAAAGAAAGAAAGAAAGAAGGAAAGAAAAAGAAAGGGAAAAGAAAGAAAAAGAAGTTACTGAGAAATTTTAGCCATTTAGGAGCACAGGCTGACATAAAAAAAAGAGTTTTCTATTTAAGAATTAACTGCTCTTTATCTATCATTCTCAGTTTTTCCCCTAATGATCCTGAGATGAACAGTCTAAAGCAGCCCGTGGCAAATGCAAACTTTTATTGCAAATCTCCTATACTCTCTCCAGATATGAATATATTTTTTGGTCTTTTTGAGACAAAGTTTCACTTTGCAATTTAGGCTGGCCTTGAGCTCACTTTGTACCCCAGGTTGACCTAGAACTCACAATGATCCTCTTGCCTCAGCCTCCTTGAATGCTGAGATTGCAGGTGTGCACCACCATACTTAGCTCCCATTCCATCTTAAAATTTCATGCCATTTATGTAACTCCAAAATTTTATCAATAGTACCTCCTCTGGTAATATCATGATGTCACTTATACTCACACTAAAAGAAAAACATACCAAAAAAAATCTTAAGGTTCTACTTTTAAAAAGCTACCAAGCCAGGCATGGTGGTGCATGCCTGTAATCCCAGCACTGAGGTAGCAGGCTGCAAGTTCAAGACCATCCTGGACTACAAAGTGAGCTCAAGGCCAGTCTGAACTGCATAGAGAGACCCTGTCTCAAAAAGACAAAAAAAAAAAAAAAGCTACCAAAAACCTTGTTTTTAAGTGATTTCTTCAGTTATTGAGAGGCTAGTAATACAAAATTTAGTGAAAGAAATTATTAATATATAATTTGTCAAAATAAAATAATGTAAAATAGCTTGGTCTTTAGGATTACAGACTTTATATTAGGGCTCTACCTGTTAGTGTGACTTGGGCAATTTACTTATTTTTTTACATTTTTTCCCCTCAGTTTCTCATTTGAAACTGAGAACAATTCTGGTTATGTTCTACTATACTTAGAAAAGACTAAATATTTTGGAAGATTTTATGAAGATTAGCAATGATTTAGTACAAAGTATTTAGTACAGTAGCACTTACATTTGCATAAATTTTTCAAAAACAGAAGCTTGCCCAAAGGACAACTCTAGGGTTAAGTTAAGCTGGAATTTAACTCTAGGGTTAGAAGCTGACAATCAGACTCCAGAGCTCCTGTTTGGTTGCTACTGTGCTGATGACAGCATATACTGACCACTTTATCCAGCCTTGTGTTACTCGCATTTAATCCCATTATAAACTCCCAACAACTGTGTTTTACCATGTTGGACTTAAGTAAAATTACACCAACTATGAACAGCAGGACATCAGCTAGGATGAGAAAGTGTTGCTGTATCACAGAATTTGCTCATGTAGATCTGCTTTTCTTACCATGTGGATATGCTATAGTTGTGGCACAGGTTTTTGAGGTGGCAGCAGCAAGCATCATTCCCACAAAATCTGATGCTTCTTTCACGGACTCTTCCCCACTTTCCATCATGGACGCTGTCTTACAATTCAGTAACTTTTGCTTTATACTTTCATAAATAACAAAATGGATCACAGTCTCTGATATGCCAGCATAGGAAGCAGACATGCCTCTGTAAAATCCTCTAAGTCCATCTGTCTGATACACTTTACGGATACACTCAAAAGCACCCATTTGCTTTTCCCCACGGTTCCTGAAGAGCAAAAGGGAAAATGTTATTGACATTAAATGCTATAGGATTTTGAGCCAATAAATTTTAAAAAATATGCCACTCTAATAAAACATGGTCTTCTTTAACTCATGAAGTGAAATCAAAAGTTTTATTTTAAAAATATTTTTGTTGGTTTTTTTTGAGACAGGGTCTCACACTTTGTAGTTCAGGCTGGCCTTGAAATCTAAGGGATCCTTCTGCCTCAGCCTCTTGAATACTGGGATTACAGATGTGTGCCACCACACTTCCTGAAATTAGAATTTTGTTTTATTTTATTGTTTTGAAATTAGAATTTTAAAACATTGATTTTAAGATTTCTTATTTCTTGTCCCAAATTTGTCAAGTGTTGGATAACATATAAATATTTTATTTTACTGAGTGCAAAATATACTACACTGATTCTTTGGTTTCACAACCTCCTAACTGGGATTTAGGTGGTAGGGATAACCAACAAATTCCTTTACGAACTCTATATTCTGGCTGGAGCTCAAGGTAAAAGCAAAACAAGTACGAAAACACCTTCACACTGTACTAATTCTAGTTCTAAGCAAGTTGAATTTCTTTTGCATTTAATAACACAAAAACAATGATGGAGACACTGATTATGAATAGTACACAATAAAGCAAGGAGTATGGCTAACTGAATTTCTGGGAGCCTGGGGAGTTCTTCCATCTCTACCAAGATTCTCCCTCAAAAGTGACTAGGTTAATAGAAATCAAACTTTCTATGATCATTTAAAGGCAGTGGCCATATCAGTATCCTTACAAACAGTGAATGAGTACCTGTACAGTTATCAAGTGTTCATTTAGTATTACTCCCAACACAATTTCCTTAGTGCTACTTAATGGTACAGTAGCTACTCTTTAAGGGTACAAATCTCCCCTTAACACTTGTGATTTCTCTTTCAGAATGTTACCTGTAAGAGATGAGTTTAAATGCTGCTCAAAGCGAAAAACAGAAAATATATCTATTTATAAATCATATCTAACCTGCTTCTGACATAACCACCTGAAACCATAACTGTATAGGTACTCATTCAGTGTTTGTCAGGATACTGATATGGCCACTGCCTTTAAATGATCACAGAAAGTTTGATTTCTATTCGCCCAGTCACTTTTGAGGGAGAATCTTGATAGAGACGGAAAAACTCCCTAGGCTCCCAGAAATTCAGTTAGTTGTACTCCTTGCTTTATTGTGTACTATCATAATCAGTGTCTCCATCATTGTTTTTGTGTTATTAAATGCAAAAGAAATTAAAAGCCCCACCTGATAATTTATAGGCTCCTCCAACTTCATCAACTAATGATTTTCTTTAGATACTGAATACCTATGTATTGTAATGATCCCTGTTAACCAACTATAACTATTTGCTGGTATTAGAGATCTTAAAAAGAAAGGTAAAACAGTATGTAAGGGTGACAGGTAAACACACCAGCTCTATTCTTGGTTTCAGTGTTACAGTTTTACAATAGTAGAATGTGGACTAGCATGTCATACTTTTTAACTTTTGGGTTAAGTTTTATCAACCATTACTTTTTAGATTTTTGATTTTAAGAAATAAATTTTGAGTTTTGCCATAATAGTTAAGATTTCATTAAAATGACTAGTCTAGATGAAACAATTAGACATTTCTTTTCAAATCTCCAAACAGGATATAGCTCAACTTGACAAGAAGGGGAAAAGATATTTCATCAGGCATTATCATAGTTACTTTTCTCTCCTCGCTGAGATAAAATACCCAACACACCCAAATTAAGGAAGAAAGGTTCATTTAGCTCAGTTTCTGGAGGTGTCAGTCTATAATCAGCTAGCTCCAAGGAAGGGCGGCATGGGCAGAAGACAGCAAAAACAGCAAGAACACAAGAGAAGAACAACCCTCTTTTCCTCCCTTATATTGTAAACAGGCTACTCCCAACCTAGGAGGCACAGAGCACTCACATCATCTCCGTGCCCTTCTCTAGCACAGGCTCTGGATAAATACAAAGTAAGGCCCCTGGCCCCTGTTCAGTCACTTAGCGAACCTTCTAAACTTCTCAAATCGACACAGTGAACAACATCCTAGAGCAGTAAGGGCTTGTCCTTTCCATCCCAGGATGGAACTGCTGAGTTACTTAGTTAAGCTTCTAGACTCAAGTTGACACAGTGGATCAGCCGTTACAGGCATCATTGTTAATGATCTGCCAGACTACTTTTATTTATAGCCTAAAGGATATAACAATACTTATCAAACCCCAAAATACAAAAATGGTAGAAATATGTTGTACATTTGAGCCTACTCCAGATTTAAAGCCTAAGAGTTCCAAACCATTAACATTATTATTACTATCAGGTATCAGTTAGTTGCTGCAATGCTTCTGGTTTTTTCAGTCCCCAGAATATGCCTAAAATCCTGTATCTCTCATCCTCTAAGGTTTCCAACAGTCCTCTGCTTAAAATGGGCTCACAAACCACTCCTTGATACATTCCATTTCAAGTTGATCCCTATTGATTCCTGGTTTATTTCCAGCATGTAGCAGTACCTGCTCAGTTTAGAATGAATGAATCTTACTCTTGTGAAGTTGAGGTAAAAGATGAAATACGTATAGACAGACAAACATACACAGTGCTACCTCTAGTCCAAGGCTCTCTATACATGAGGTCAATGGACGTGAGCAATGATTCTCAAAGATTCACTCTAGACTAGCTGATCATAAGACTTATTTCGCTGTTGGGAGGCCAATTATAAGCACTCATGTAAAGCAAAGTATACTTGCTGGGCAGGATTAATATACTATGCCTCTCCAAAAGTTCTGTGTTCAGAGGCAGGGCTTTTGGAAGGTGACTGGATCATGAGGGTGCTAGTCTCATTACGGCTCAGTCAACTAAGTTCATAGGTGAATAGGCCACTCAGAGGAAGCAGGTCAAGGGAAGGTATGCATTTGAAGGGTAAAATTTATCATCGCCCTTTCCTCCTTCTCTGGCTGCCACAGCATTGAGTGGCCTTCCTTTTCACACTCCTTCTGCCTTGCAGCCAGAAAACTACGGACTGAAACTTTCAAAATGAGCCAAAAAAACCCTCTTTTCCTTTTAGCTATGTATGTCAAGGTATTTTGTCCTAGCAATGAAAAGATGACTTAGAGACTTCTTCTCTTCTGTTAAAAAACAACATGCAGCCAGGCACGGTAGTGTACTCCTATAATCCCAGCTAAGTGGCAAGGCGACACAGGAAAATCCAACAGCACCCTGGGCAACATGGTGAGACCCTACCTCAAAACTAAAACACAGAACAAAGCAATATATAAAACACATTTTTCATTTAAAAAGTTTCATACTGTCAACTATTACCACTTCTGCTTCTAATGGCAGACCCAAATTTCAACATGAAATAAAACAAAATAAAAAATTTATCAGCAAAAGGTAAGAAGGGAAAACCATGGTGAGATACCAGGCATTGAAATTTTACTGATATAAATTTACAGAAATTTAATGAAATCCACCCTTAAGTTTTACATACCTTGCGTCAAGCTGTAACCGAGTCTTTATAAGCCAGATGGGGTTGGTTGCAGTGATCGCAGTGAAACCTAAACAAACATATTTAAAATGAACTTCGGTAAAGGTAAGTACATACTATCAGTTTTAAGGTTCTTTATATGAATCTATATTAAAGAAAATGTAAATATTTAAACTACTGCTATATGCTTTACATTTTCATTTTACAAATCCATATAAATATTTGTCTTTATTTCCTATCCACATAAATTCTCAAATTCTGACTTTAACTAAAGGATTCTTTTAAGAGTAAAACCTGATTGCACACAAAGTCTCTCCCAAACTACTAGAATATCCTCCAGGGTGCTCTACTCCCTAAATTGAATTTTAAAACAAACAAACAAACAAAAAAAACACTTTCCAGGAACCAAGAGACAGAAATTCTGTGTATTTTAGGGCTAAAAAGTAGGTACTCTATAACAGTGGCTTGGGGATGTGATTCATGTCACAGATCACTACATTAAAAATGAATTCTACATAAATGGTGCTGTTTACTAAGATTTTGATCTGCATAGCACAAAAGACTTGCTTGGCCCCATCAATTCTTATCTATAAACAAATTTACTAACACTATTAAAGTAATGCTATCACAGAGGTAAGGTTTCTTTTAAGGTTAATAGGACACATCTACTTTTTATCCACTTGAACATGTACAAGAACTCAAAAGATCAAAACATTACAAATTGGAACTTCCCTCTCACTTTCACAAATAATGGAGAAATAATTCAGGGTAGAAGGTAGTTACCATTTACTTTAAGACTAAAGTGCTATGTAGTAACTATTATTACAGAAGGGTAGTCACCCAGGATGGCACAATTCCAGGTAGTAAATTAGGATCTTGGGAGCAGTACAATCATAAGGCTTATGCATATCTTTTACTTGCCATCTTCCTAGAATTTAACAGTAGAACACAATGCAATCTTGATGATGGGAACTTACTGCGTGAGATTGCTTCACCTACACAAAACAGGGTTTTCATAGTTTGCCTTTACATTTAAGATTGGTTATACAAACTTCACAGAATATCTTATATCAAGCTACTTTTATTCATCTAGCCTTTAAATTCAATTGAAAACTTCCATGCAGAAATATCTAAGGATCTTAACTGTTTTAATATTCCCTACAAAATATTAGCAGGTCAACCAACATTATTTTTAGGAAGACGTAGTATAATCAGACTTAATGTAAGTACTTTCAAGAACAAAACTGCTGTGATGTACTTAGGAATACAGTGGTACCTCAGCTCATGAACTTAATTTGTTCCATGATTCTGGAAAAGATTGCCACAGTCATGTTTGGCATCTGATGCAGTTTGCAAACAGAAACAAAATTTTGACAAACAATTCTGTTTGTGAACCAAAGCACTTGTGACCTGAAGTACCACTGTACTTTGTTTTTAAAATACATAATGTGGAACCAAACACTTACTTTCTTGGCTTTTGGAGTTACTCTATCTATGTATACAAAATAATTTTACAAAACTGAATTTGGTCTTGTTAAGTTCTTTCCTCTTGTATGATGTCAGATAATTAACTCAAAATCTACTTCCTTAACACACTTTTTACACTGTGGAAATAGACACGTTACACAAAGGGCTACTTCAATTAAACCTACTTAGCAAGCAAGATAAATGGAATTTTGTTTTAGTAACTCATTTAATACTTTTATAATTATATAGCCTCCATTTATCTTAAGTGCTTTTAATACTACATACATGAACGTAAAACTAGAATGGGACCAATAACTTCAGAAGCATCAATTCGTATTAAAACAATAAAAATTGAAAGTGATGAACAGGTTGCCAGGAATATCTTTTTCAATGAGAGATTTTCATAGACATATGTTGGTAAAAGGAGAGAAAAGAAAAAACATGGAACTATCAGACTAGTTTAAATAGTTGCCTGGCCTGGCCTGGCCTAGTTTAATTGAGAACAAAGTTGCATACTATTTTTTCTTCTTCTTTGGAATCTCATTTTTCTAAGTGAAAAAGTTAAAGACACTCAAATTAAATTTTAAAGCAGACATCAATACTCTGGTCAAATCCTAATTTAATGATTCTCATTTTTAAAGTAAGAATCTTTTTTTTTGTTTGTTTGTCTTTTTGAGACAGGGTCTCACTATGTGTTTCAGGCTGACCTTGAGCTCACTTTGTAGCCCAGGCTGGCCTCGAACTCACAATGATTCCCCTGCCTCAGCCTCCCGAGTGCTGGGATTACAGGTGTGCGCCACCACACCCGGCTAGAATCTTTTTCTTATTTCTTAAATACACTAGGTATTTGGACTGTAAGATTAAGGACGTAAAGAATTTATATCCAACAAAATATTTTGCATTGTTCATAATAATTTCCAGTAATCATTTTGTAGAAATTTTAAATAAAGAAGTTTGCTTTTATAAAGCCTACAATTGGAAATCTTTAAAAACAGCTTATTGAAGTAAAAAATTTCATTCATTATACTTCAATGAAAAGATAAGCATCAAAGTTTTTTTCTTTTTAAATAAAAATTCTATTCTAAGAATGCGAAGTTAGTACTCAAGTTTCTCCCTGTAATACTATTCCAATAAATCATAATTCCTCAATTTTAACTGGGAAAAAACCATACATACATGTATACATAATAAGTATGTATATAACTAGTGATAAAATGTTTAAATACTCAAAAATTATAATTTTAAATCATTCTGAGGGCATATTAATTAACAGTATCAGAAAACAAACAACAGGTATTTCTCACTTAAGTAAAATGCATTTCCAGGTACAAATAAATCTATTTAACAGAGGTCACATTAACATTTAGGTGAGAGAATGTTGTGATCTTATCCCTTGTAGCTGCTATTATGAGTAAGCTATGCTTACTGTAATTGTTGTCTCAATTCTCCCAATAATTCAAACTTTCTTAATAGAGACACCAGTCTAACTGCCAACAAAGTGTGAGGTTGGACAAAAAGTAGGAATAATCCATAGGTTTTTAACTATTTGTCCTTCAGCAGTTAAAACTCTGGTCAGTCCTTGAGTTTTACCTCTATTACTTTCTCTTAGCCAAAAAATAAATTAATACATTTAGACATTATTAGATTAATTAAATCTAGAAATGTATAATCTATTAACTCAAGAAACAGAAATGGGAAAAACCCCCAAAATTTACCATTAACTTAGAATTAAAATTAAACTCCATGGCAATTTGAGGCTGGCCAATGCTAAACCTGCCTTCACTCTACTAAGTAGACAAGCACACACAAAGATACTGGGAATGGTGCTTCCGAAATTTAGAAACTGCCTATTCCTTTTTTTCTTTTTTTGCATTTTAGCTTTGACACATTTTGACAGTATGATAACTTATATTAATTACTTGCACTGTTAGTACTGTTAGTAGTGCAATTAGTGTTTTATTAAAAAGCTTTAAAATTTTTTAAAAGGCAATTTTTAAAGTTTTTCTTCACATAACTCTATTTGATAGTGTAAATCCTTAATAAAGCAGGTAAAAAGAAAATTCCTGATAAATTTCCTTGCTGAAAATGTTTATTTCATTAAGTGAGTGATACCTGTAGTATTGCATTTTTCAGTACTTTTTAATTTTTATAAGAACAAAACTCATGTCAACCAAGAAAAACTTATTAAAACTATTTTGAAAGTTAATTAAAACTAAAACAGCTAAGATCCTGTACATTGTGCCCTCAATTTATTTGCAAAGTACTAATGGTATTAAATATTTTTGCAAAAGAGTAGAAAGCCAAGTATCAACAGACAAGAAAGGAAAGCACTATTATTAGATTTTTAAATATGTTAGCTAAGCGAAGAGAACTACTACTTTATCTAAAAGTTTTTGGACTACGGTATCTACCATTTGCAACTATACATATATATCAAATTCTTTAGAGGTCAAGGCTGTCATGGCCAAATTGAAGACCCCAGGCTTACATGATGACTGAAAAGTACCCATTCTTCCTTCTAGAAAGGATTACAAAGTGATCAGAATTAACTGTTATAAAATAATAATACACACACAAATTCAGGAAATAAAAATTCATTTCCCGCCTTCTATTAATTCCATAGCTACTATAAAATCCCAGGGTGTGTTTCTTATACTAGAGGCTGCAAGAGATGCTCAGATCAGTACTCACGAGGTTTAAGTTAGTCCATATTTCTACAGGAAGTGACCTGCGGATGGGGAGCATGAGATGACACGATCTCACTCTTTTCTCGGGAGAAATGTACAGTAAATGCCTAAAATAGACACAGGCTTTTCTGTATCATAACAACAAGCAGTGACCTCATCAGAAACACGTGTACAAACTGAATCCCACTGGAAGGGTTTGAGAAATATTTACTGTGAGATCTAACTTTTGTGAAAATGTTAAGTTAAAAAAGGAGAAAGGAATATCAGAATGGGTTTTTTTAAAAAATGCACCAAGTACTGAAAATCCCACCATCTCCAGGAGTTTGAGTCCAAATACTTACCCAAACCAAGATCAATTTTATCTTAAAGAAAAAATGCTAACCTTGTCAGAGGGTCTAAAAACCCTCCAAAAACAAAATATTTAGAGGGGATTGTCATATCCTGTTTTCCCCACCATTATTATCTTTCATGGTCAAGGAGCCGAAAACACCATTTTTTATCCATTAACACGTCTGTCTAAAGACAGGCTTTGGTGGCACACACCTGTAATCCCGGAACTCAGGGAGGCTCAGGCAGAGGACTGCAAGTATAAGATCAGACTGGACTACGTAGTGAGTTCAAAGCCAGAGTGGACTACATAATAAGATTCAAAACCAAACTGAACCAAAACGAAACAAAACAAAAAACCCCAACAGAACATTCAAGCTATCTTCATTTTGGAACTATTTATCAATTTTAAAATAAAGTAGATGTTTTTACCATAGTACCTTTCACTTTTTGCACTCTAGCCAGTAATACTTTACATCCATATTTATTCAATATTTTGGATTATTTTCTATTTAATCTTTTATATTCTACAAAACAGAAAATAGGAAGAATATTTACACATAAACAAAGCATCTGTCTAACCACTCATTTGGCTGAATAAACTGCCATGGACAATTATAATACTGTATAAAAAATTTTATACATGAAGACAAAATCTGTATTTAATGAGTAAAAATTTTAATAGTAAACTGTAAGTCAAACAGAAAAATGTATCTTGAAAAATAAATGTACCCTGTAAACAAAGAGTATCTATTAGGTATGTAGAAAACATTAAATGACACTATGGATATATTAAAACTTGAGCACTAACTGTATGAATACATAATAAAACTCGGAATTCATTTCCTTTATAATGTTGTACATAAAAGAGTATGTATATGCCAGATAAAAACTTAAAAAGTGGGAATTACTACAGTGAAAGAAACAATTTAACTTTTTTCTATCTGTATCGGTGCCTATGTGATACAGAGGGTATTCAAGTTCATTTAAACAAAACAGATACAAAACAGACAGCAGCTAGGGTAAATTTAGTCTGATAAATGTTATATGCAGAGGAAAAATAGGTAAAACATAAAAAGTCTGATTATTCTCATAACCAGAAAAATGTTTTAATGCATGAAAGTTTATAGCTACATCTTATAAGCTTTTACTACATTCTTACAGTATTCACTTATAACACTATAACATGAAAAAAGACTCACTTCAACTGTCCTTCTAATAAATGAAGTTTTTATATTGAAATTAAATGTGAGCTGATATAGACAAAATGCCAAATGAGACTGAACTGAGAGGTTACTTGGAATATAAATTACACACCTGGGTACCTTACTAAATCTTGAATATGCGTGCTAGTTGATGTGGCAAAATCTCCTAGGTACTATGGTTGATTATTATTTCAGTGCACTTTTAATACTAAAGTGACAAGGTTAGCATTTTTTTCTTGAATAGCCAGTTAAAAATTACTATATAATTTTTCACATTACTAAGTATTTTATACCCCCAAAACATTCATATTTAGACCTCTAGAAATGATCATCAAGAAAACCCAGAACAATCTGGTCTAGATTAAAAAGGAAGGGGCAAAAGGCTACCTTAATGAGTCTGTATTGGACCATTCAGTTTCATCAGCATGTATAAAAAAACTGCAAAGCTAAATGTTAAACGCTCATGAATAGTGCAAGAAAGCTCTGAAAGAGTCATTCTTAGAACAATGTAACTGCAAACAAATGGAAATATTTTCAAATTACACAGTAAGTGTACAGTGCAATAACCTCTGAACAAGCATAAAACTATCAATTTACCAAAATTCAAGGAATTCAAGTTGTGAAACAGTGTCAATGTATAGAAAAAAACCTGTGTATTTGTACACATTTGAAAAAAAAGTACAAAATGACAATTCTGAATTTCTTTGTAATGTGATAAATTCTGATGAGATTATCTAATAAGATGTTCCAGTAAAAATTAAGATACTACGGACCTCTAGGTTTACAATTCTGAATATATAATATTCTCAACATAAAGTAACTACCTAGATACTTTCTTGATTTCAGTTCTTTAAAATAATTAACACTAATATTTCTTTATAATTTACTGATGATAAAAAAACTACAATCATAAACATTGGTAATATGGAAATATATTCTTAAAAATCTTAAGACAGTGTTTATTAGGTTTGTTATTGCCATCAACTTGTATCTTCTTACACACTCAAATTTTAGGGGGAAATCATATCCAATTCAACATCTGTAAAAGTACAATTAAAAATAATTCTAGTTATCTAGATAATCTTTACCATACTACATAAAAGGACTAGTTCTCAAAACCCTAGTGCGTCCATCCAGATCAACCTACTCTATGAATTAAGCTAACAGAGGCTCACTTACATTACTTAATTTGCCCAAGATTTTCTTATTGGTAAATCAAAGTATTCACTATCTTTAATGTCCCTTTCCTTCAGCTTTGTAGTATCCATGAGTCAAGTCAAAAATTGTTAAATATAAAGAGCTCTGAAAACCATTTGTAAGGTATGTGCTAGAAGTATCATATATAGTAAAGACTTTCAATCTTTCAGAAACTGGGTGTTTCAAATTGATCCAATTTCTTTCTAAGAAAATGGTCACGTTTCAGACACTCATCAGTAAGCATGTAACCGACACTAAATCTGCACATCAGTAACTGAGGAAAGTGAGGGAAGCAGCGACAGTTTGCCTTATACAGTCACAGCATAATTTGGACATGTGAGATATGGGAAGATACGTAAAAATATCTCAGAAAATTAAGGAAATTTTCAATCGAGAACTAAAATTCTTGGCTTTGTCTAGCATGCATGGTTAGCAAATGATTCCAGAACCAAACCAGTAAAACCAATCTCTCACAGTTTAAGGTGGTGCACAGACGTGGGACTAGTTGTTTTATTTCAGAGTCATAGATATTTATTAAAGAAGACAGAAGATTTTCTGAAACATTTCTGTAACAAGCATGTACACAAAGCCAGTGTCTAAAATTCAGGTGCTATCATCTAGTCATTTATACAGAATAAACATACTTTTAAAAATATACACATTACTGGTTGAGTTTTTGATAACACACCACTCACAAAAAAGTTCAGCACTTGAGCACAGGACAAAATGAATACTTTACCAAGAACTGCTGGCACATTTCAGACAGAAGCCAAAACATGCAGCAAAAAGGGAAAAGGCACTAACAGAAATTGAGGAGAGAAAAGTAAATTTCAGGTCTGTAACTTACAGTGTAATTATAATTGGATTCTTAAAGCTATTGAACATAATCACTAAATATCCAATGGACTACACAAGGCAATCTAAACATTGTATTCTCTGGAGCCTATCACTTAAACTCCTAATTACAAAAAATGCTAACTGATGACCAATTTTACATATATGGTATCTAATTAAATTTGTTTTATACAAATAAGTATAAAAATCATCTTTGTAGACATTAATGAAAAGCACACTAGTCATTTTAACTATTTAATATAAACTCATCATAGTTTGGCATCAAGTCTTCAGGCTTCACAAATGTTTTCATTTTTTAGAATCATACTTTCATACCTGCCATTGCAGCTGAAATCATGTGAACCTGGGTAGAATCAGGATCAAACACACCATTCAATTTTTCCTTGCAGTTGGAATAAGCAGCAAAGTATAGTGCTCTAAAAGAAAGAATTAAATTTATCAATAAGCATGTTTTTAAATTCATTACAGTAAATGTAAATTCATCTTCCTAATTTTAGAATGAAGATATCTAACATCACAGTCTTGGCTAGACTCTCATGTAACAGCCAGACTGCCATGTAATTTATACCTTTTCTCCACAAATACCCTCAAGTGCTTTTTGTATTAACTCATTTAAAAAAGCCAAACTCAAACACAAAGCTCCTAGTATCCATCCTCAAAGAAATCAATCCCCGTGCAATACTCTGATAGCCACTTAGCAACTGACAAAAACTGTGATGACTGGAAACCCCATGAACGAGCAAGGCCGCGAAGTCTGTGCAGCGCTAAGGCTGAAGTTGTATGCCTAAGTAAGTGGCTTATGAGCACTGAAGTAATTTTTTTAGTGGGGAAAGGAGGGTAGAGCTGATCCAGTTCATCACAGTATATGTTAAGCTATGAGATACTGTGATATATTATAATCTCTGTGTTACACAGAAAAATTCACAGTATTTTTTTTTTTTTTTTTGCTACTGGGGATTGTGTGTAAGCATGTACTCTTACTGACCTACACCTCGCAGCCCTACAGTACTCTTAAACAAATACAATAATTCCCACAAAGGATTAAGGTATGTTTTCCAATGTTTGCAGACATTCTATTAGATCTGTAAATATTTGTCCTGTTAACTTATTATCACTTCATGCATTCCCTTCAGCAGCTATTTAACTTCCAAGGCTCTCCATGATTTTCTTGCTATATGAAATATCTTGTTATTTCTCAACAATCCCAATTATCTGCCCAAAAGGGACAGAGTATAGTACAAATGGTAAAGTTTCACTATTATGTCTTTAATGTGCTTAGGAAAACACTTAATTAGCAATTTAAAATGAAATTTTATGAAAACTTTATTCCACTTTATGAGAAAGAAAAAACAAGATACATTTGATACCACACTGTGAAGAGTAATAAACAAAACATCCTAGAAATGAGAAAATAGGCCTGGAATATATAAAAGCAATTCAGAGAGAGATATACAATGTCAAATTATAAGGAAGAGCATATAATTGCATCAAACATTAAACAAATACATATTAAAACAGCCACAAACCAGTTTTAGTTAATTTTGGTATTAAGTAGGCAGACAGTAGCCAACACTGGTAAAGGTGCAGATAAAGAGTAACTATCTGAGTATAAAAATATCGTATACCTTTTTAGAAGGTAGGCTCTTCTCTAGTTTAAATGTGCCCATGCTCTTTTATTTGCAAATTCTATGTTAGGTAACATCCCAGAAGACTGTATGTAGTTGAGAACTCAAAATAACAGTTTAGGTATGTTCACAAAACCACTGTTGTTTTTTACAGTAAAAATCTCAAAAATATCAATGAGGGAATACTCAATTATGGGAGAGTAACACCATCCAATTGAAAAATTGTAAATGATAATAATAAATATAAGTAATCATTTGTTTTTAATGTGTATGATAACCCAGGAAAATTATGGTGAGGCTACACATGTAACTGTTTAATATCTATGAGAGGAGTATGTTGAAAGGTGTATGGAGCAAGACACACAATGTGTTTAAGGTAGAAAGCCAAACTTTACACTACATACTTTTTACCTTTGTTATCAGGATGCAAAATAGACTCACTCACTCACTCACTCACTCACTCACTCACTCACTCTATCTGTGATTGAACCCAGGGCCTTCACACTGAGCCACATTTCCGTCTTTTCTTAAAAATGTTTGACTTTGAGACATGTCAGTTGCTCAGTCACCCAGGTTAGGCTCAAATTTGCCATCTTCCTGCTTCAGCATTCAAGAGTGCCGGAAATTTCTTAAACAAAGAAAACAGCATGTAGAAAACTGAAACCCGAGCCAGGCATGACGGCGCACAGCTGTAATCCCAGCACTTGGGAGGCTGAGCCAGGAGGATCATTGCGAGTTTGAGGCCAGCATGGGTTACAAAGTGAGTTCAAGGCTAGCCTGAACTGCATAGTGAGACCCTGTCTCAAAAAGACCAAAAAACAAAAACAGAAAAAACCCTGAAACCCAGTACAACACACATATATAGTATATGGTGTGGATACAGACAGCTAGGCATCCACATTTACTCTAAATATGAACTTTACATAGAGTTTTATCATGGAAGAGCTCAATCAATCTATGATAAAACAGTATCAGAAAAATGGCAAGGTAATGCTTTCAAGTCTTTTTGGTTACTTTCACAGGAAATGGAACTTTCTACCTGTTTAGCCAAAAAAAAAAATGATTCAGAGTTCTAGTCTTATTTGTTCCTGCTGGGTTCCTTTTTATTATTAATTCCTTATTCTCTGCCTTGTGAACTTGATGCAAAACTGCTTCACAGTGATGGAGGTCCTCTGTACCTCTGCCCAGAAGAATCTGCTCAGCTTTTTAGGTGGTTCCTGTTGGAACACACTGATGGCTTCACCACTGTAAGTCTCTTCAGTACCTCCCTCCTCTGGCTTCCTTTACTATGGCAGGTATTGTGGGCATCTCTTATTGCCCTTTAATGCAGCACAAGCTGTCATTACGTTAGACGTCTTATCCCTTTTTCTAAGCCTTTCCTAAGACCCATTTCTCTTTCTAGCTCTTTGATTCCGTTTTTCCCTTTTGTTTCTCTGAAATTTAACTTCTATGTGGAGAGCCAGAAAGAAGCACTAATTTCAGGTAGAGGACAAAGTTGGACAGCTATGTGAACCAGTAAGACGAGACATATATCCTAAATATTATGCCTATAGCTCAAGGGGAAGTTCTCTCTTAAAAAATACATTTTTTCATAAAGACAAAAGTTTTAAGAGCTGGTTTAGTTAAATTCAAAAAACTACCAAACACCGGTCTCAAAATATTAGCAGTTTATTGCCTTAGCCCTATGTAGATTTTCAAGTCCCCTCTCCTTAGCACAAAAGTCCTCATTCCTAAGATCAGAAGTGTTCTCCTAGGAAGGCTCAAAACATAGCCACTGCCTACAAGGGAATTTACAGGTTTATTTTGCAAACATTGTAGGCTTATCTTACCCTCAAAAATCACAAATTCATTCAAAGAATTTTAAAATTTAAAACTTACCTATAAATACAGTAAACTATGTTATACCATACTGATTTAAGAACATTTCATTGCACTCATATTACAATCATTCATTTCTAATACTACTAAAATTGTTCATCTCCAAAACACTCAGTACCCATTTCCTGCTACCAAACATTACCTCATAAATTTATTCTCTTTTTTTTTTTTTGGTACTGGGAATTGAACTCAGGACCCTGTGCTCATCAGGCAGGCCCATGAATTTGTTTCTGTTAGCATCTGAAATCTTTAAAAAGAAAATCGAATTTCAACTTTCCTTAAACACTGAAAACTGCATTTATAAATACTAAGTATACATAAGGAATTAAATACAGATGCCTTGAAACAAAGGTTGCCAGAATTTTGCTTAACCTATGTTTATTTTTTTCTTACCTGGAAGGAGCCACCCCCACTATATTGGGGCCTAATCCTCTAAACAAGGAACGAGGCCCTTCTTTTTCCAAGATCATTCTGAAAGAGAAAAAAAATTACAAAGAAATATTCTTCAAAGTCTGGTACTTTATTTAGTTTGCACAATTACGATTAAGATAAAATCCTACATTTGTACTAGAATATTATACTTTCCTAGCCATTTTCCTTACTTATAAACAGCTGTTTTTTCATGACATAGCGTAATTTACTGGAGACTGGTAACAGACTTACTAGTGATAAAAAGAATTCTGTTCAAACTCTTTTCTAAAAGATTAAAGACATCACTATACAGATTTCTATACTGATTTTCATATGATCATGCTATGGTTATCTCCAATCATCTCAGTGTTACTGTCTTTACCAGCAAATTCAATTTTTAGTCAGAAATATAATTCTTTCCTAGATCTGAGGTCTTTTACTTCATACTAGAGAGTATTCTTAGCATTGTAGTATTACATTATCCAATGATTCCAGTGAAATATTACAGCAAAAACATATTGCACTACCATTCCTTACTACACTAGAATGGTTGGCTTATTATTTCTTCTGCTGGTCAGTTAAAATTCACTATATTGAGTATTTCCTGTGCTGTTATAAAGAGGGCTTTATGACTAGGCAAAGAAGAAAGACATAGAAAGTAAAGTGGATGGCCACTAACACTGTGAACTCCGTTGTTCAGTTGTGCAGAAAAAAAATTATACTGAAATAATTTAACAGACTATATTCACAAGCAAATACTTCACAAGCTAGTCACATATATCGTAGGCCCCCAAAGCAGGAGAAATATTTTAGTATCAGAAAGCTTTCGTAGAGGTGAGTTATTTAATAAAGTGTCACAGGTGGGAAACAAAAGAGAGCGGAGAAGAGATGTTATTTTTACGTCCTAGTTAACAGACTAGGTAGGCCAAATGATTTTCAAACATCCGTACGGTTAAGAGAGGTCCCTCTGAACACAATGGTTAAATATTTGAAAGGCCTGAACTAAGGGATCAGCCTTCTCGCTATGAAGCCCAGTGTTCGTAACTGACTTAAAAAGTAACTTCATTCATCCTAATTTCAGCAGTAAATAAGGAGAAACAGTATTCCCTCCCTTGGGCTACTGTGAGGGTTAAATATATGAGCTTAAAAAAAAATTATATATATAAGCTTAAAATATGGCCTGAAAATCTAAGGAACTAAAATGGGAGCCCAAGGGGGCTTTTAAAGTTCCTGTGGAAAAGAGAAAGCAAAACTATTAAAAACTAGAAAGAAAGAATATATCACAGAGGTCAAAGAAAAAATTTTATGGAGACCTATTCAGTGGTTATTAATGTCAAACTCATGATATTAAAATATTTTTTCTATTATTAATCATATTTAGGTATTTATAATGATAGCATTTTCATTCAAAATTGTCAACAATTTACTCTACATATTCAGGTGCTTAGGTAACCAAGTTTGAAAGAAGTGTGATGAAATCTTGGTAGTGAAGGTAAACACACTAGCTAAGTTTATTTTCTACAAAATAAATACTACTGAACTAAGTTCAAATAGATTAAATTCAATTGAGCTGATAAAGCAGACACAAGTTATTCAGTCATACACACAAGTCTGAAAATGTAAAATCTGATTTCAATAGTTTTGAAACTTCAAATACAATTGCGACTAAAGAAGTACATGAAAATGTAAAAGCAAAATTTTTCAGGCTATCAGAAAATGTCAAACACCTCCTGAATAGCATTTTAAAGTCAATACAATTCTGTTTCAAATTAGGTCTAGGTTATATAGAAACTGCAGACTGCAATTATTAAATGTAATTACTTGTGCAAGTACTTGGAAAACTAAAAACACAGAGTTAGCATTAACATTATCTCATTTAAAAAAATAAATGAACAAACAATCCAAAATAAAACACCTATAGCAGCCAGGCTGTGGTGGCGCATGTCTGTAATCCCAGCACAGGAGTGGGTGGGGGTGGGGTGTTTTAAAGCAGAAGGGGTGTTTAAGGCAGGAGGGCCGTTGAGAGCTCAAGGCCAGTCTGAACTGCATAGCGAGAACCTGTCTCAAAAAGACAAAACAAACAGAAACACCTGTAACAGCTTTAGAAATTTATTGGAGAAATGCAGTATTCTAAATATATGTGATTTGGAAATAACATTACATTTTGTATTACCCATCTAATTATTCTATTTTGGATTACCACTTTTAATGAATATAATTCAGAGTAAACTCTGTCATTCAGTTTCTAAGAACCTTTTAAAATGGAGCAGAACATAAACAAATGTGGGAATCAATAAGGTAAACTAAAACAAAACTAAACAATAGAAACCCATAAATGTAGTGCTCTTACTTTAAGCAATGGAGGGGTCCGGGAGACACTACTCGGTTAACGCTGGCTCCAGCCATGGTGTTCAGCTGAACTTCAGAGATATAAAGTGTCACAGCAGACGACTGTAGCCGTGTTTTCACAACTTCCAGTGGACATGTCAGAATAGCTCCCACTGTGCCACCACATCTACAAAGAAATGAGAAGAACACAACTCTAATCAGTGCACGAGTATACTGGCCCAGAGGTAGAACCTATGTGGTCATCTGAAGCTCTGCCAACTTACAACTTAAAACTTTTAATCATTTTAGAAAACTAGATACACTTTAAGTTCGGTTCGCGGTACCAGAGAAAAACCAAAAAATTAAAAAAAAAAAGAAAACTAGATACACTTTAAAAGTTTCACTTATTTGCATGTAATTGCCTACATTTGCTAAAAACAACAGTTTAGTAATATCTGCCCTGCAAAGATAATTCGCTCTATGAAAACCTCGACCCTTATTTTAAGTATACCCTATCCTTCGAATTTCTATCCTTTTAAAACTCAAGAAATGGTCCTCTCAGTGTAACAATGAAATCACTGATAGGTTATTCTAGAAATGGCAAAACGAGCGGGGAAAATAGGCAGACAAAATTTCAATCAATGAAGCAAATGTGAAAGCAAAGCTGAAAGAGAATGAAAGGCTTGCAAAGGGAAATATATATCAAAAAGCAGCAAGCAATTTTCCCGAAAAATTCCCAAGAAGCCTAATGACTAAGGGCACCAAGTACTGAAAGAGATAAAGTAAAGAATTGAAAATATGACAGGCTGATGGGCTGCAGAGCAAGGGTAGGATGCCCGAGTGAATATTTGCTCTACATGCATGTACACATGCACACACACACACAATAAATAAAACTGTGTTCCTGGGCAGAAGCCTAATTCTCTGAAGAATATGAACTCAAAGCTGAGCCTTGGGTTTAGTAAGTGTATCCAAAGCAGAAAACAAACAACTCCCCCCATCAGGATGCACTACTGTAACCTTTTAAAGTACTGCAGATAAGACTTCATCAACTCCCACAATGAAAGAACAAACGGACACACATAAAAGGAAAATCGTCAGAACAGCATCAGATTTTTCAACAACTGTAGAACATTATTTATCCTAAAATTCTATACCAAGCTAAACTGGAAAACAGACTAGACAAAGTACTCAAAAAAAATTTCTCACTTTGTACCCATTTCTTACACATGAACTGAAAGCAAACCAAATTACCAAACAGATAAATTATACCTCCAGACCAAGACTGCGGTATTAAGAACAGCACGAGGTAGGAATAAAGCACAAACAACATTAAGATGTGTTATGCACATGTACAAACACCCCATAAAGAATGTAATTAATCTGTAATGCAGACGTAGTGCTAATAAAAATAAAAAAGTTTGGAAAAAGAACACAGTAAATATGAACAGCAAACAGATCAATTTCAACCATGATGCCAAGAGTCATCAACCCCTAAGTCAGTTGGAAAACCATACCAGCTGGAAAGCCCCAGGCTACTGAAACATTAAATCCAGTTTCTGTCTTTAAAGGGATTTTACTAGCTTGTGTCTAGATGTCCCCTCAAAGTCTCATGTGGTCATAAATGGGGCTTTTTCAGAGGTGGCTGGATCTAGAGTGTGTGATGCTGGGATTAAGGGTGTGTGATTACTAAATCAGTCCACTGACTGGTTTGGCACAGCCCTAATCCTGGTATCCTAGACAGAGTATAAAAGGGGCAGAAAGAAGCTGCTAAGGCCCCTTGCCTGCTTTGCTACCTTCTGCCTGTCATGTACTGTTTCTCTTCTGCCATACCTGTGTGCCACGCCACCCTGCCTTGGAGATAAACCTTATTTCCCTTAATTTGTGGGTGTTGGGTATTTTGTCTCAGAAATGAGAGAAGAAACCAAGACCCTGAGCATACCCAGGGTGAAACCTAAAACACCTCAAGATTCTGTGAAGCTAAGGGAGGGTCATGGAATATAACTGATTCCAAGATTTTGACTGTTAGACCCATGTCTTCAATTTTAACCCTTTAAATATATAAATAGGAAACTTGTTTTTTAACAATCATGTAATTCTCCAGTGGGCAAAATTTTTCTTATATCCACAATATTGTGAGGAAGTGCGTATAATTCAAAAGGTACTTTCGAATTCATTTTTGTTAACTTTAAGCAAAATCTACTTTATCAGATTTTGTATCAAAGCTACAACTGTAGCTTTCAACTTTGTAAAGGAAAATGAAGGTTGAAATACTGTCTTTCAAGTAATACTGCACTGCAATTTACTAACCAGGGCAATAGTTGTCTTAATTACTTCCCTCATCACTGAGACAAAACGCGCAACACCCACAACTTAAGGGAGGTTTTTTTTAGTTCATGTTTCAGTCCAGAGTTTGATCCCAGTCATAGCTGGCTCCAAGGCAGGTCAGCATGGCACAGGCGCATGGCAGAGGAACAGCTGCTCACCTCATGGCAGCCAGGACGCAGAGCAGATCTCCACCTCTTTGAACCAAAAGTTAAATCTAATGGTTAACAGCTCTCAGTGTCTTAAATGACTCCAACCTTTGAGAATTGCTCACTCACTCACTCACTCAGGTACTGTGTATTTGTTCTATTTGGATTTCAGAACAGATTTTCTTGCTCACTCCTCAGTCTGTTTTGCTGGTTTCTCCTCTTCTCTGATCTCTTTAACTGCAGTCTTCAAAAGTTAGTCTTTGGTCCTCTTGTTCCTATATTCCCTTAATGGTATTATCTGGCTAGGCTTATGGCACTTTCTATACTCCGAATGTGTATCTTTAGTCTAGACCTTTCTTGGACTTCGCACTAACATTCAACAACCTCAACAAATACTTTCTTGACCTGGTTACTTCTCAAACTTACAACTAAATTTAAACTTCTGATCTTTCTCTAACCCAAACCCATTCCATCTAAAATCTTATCTACTCTAGCCAACAGCAATCTCATCCTTCTGGGCGCCCAAAGAACCCCAGTTATCCTTACATCTTGTTCTTATACTCTACATCCAATGTTACAAATCTTACTGTCTCTGTTTTTGAAATAAAACCAGAATTCAACCATCTCTCACAATGTCCATAACCTTCAACCCTTTAAGATCCACCGTTACCGCTCATCTGGATTACTAAAATACATCATCTCTCTAGTTTTGCTCTTGCCACAGGTAGAGTCTAACACAATGGACAGAGCTAGCTTTTTAGAAGACTAGTCCCACTTCAACAGAAAAGGCAAAAGTTCCTTACTGGTCTAATAATGCTTTACTACTAGGGCTATACTTGTTTTCTTACCTTGTTCACACTGTAGGTCTTTTCTCTGCCTATTCCCTCTGCACAGTTAATTCCCTTCCATGTAGGTCCTTGTTCAAATATCATCCTCTCAGTATGACTCAGTCATTCTCCTCTATTTGACTAGATTGAACTTCTATTCCTGATGCTGTCCTACCCAGCTCCCCATAGCATTTAACACCTTTTAATTAATGATACCATTTGCTTGACAAATCAGTCCTTTTCAGATAGTTGTGTATATTTGATACTACATTAAGACTGAAAAAAGTGGAAGGTTTTTGAAGGGTAACTGCAATATTCAATTTGAATCCATGCCAATAAATCCCTGAAATTTTTTCATGCTGTTATATTAAAATCCGCTGGTCTATCTTAACAGGTCATTTGAAAAATACTGATTCAGTGGGTTTGGGTTATGCTTCTGCATGTCGGTACAGTATACAAAATAATGTATACTTAGGATCACTTAAGAGAAACATCTTTAGGTAGTAGGAAAAAATGGTCACATTGGAGATTGGGGGGATTAGCTCAAGATTTCAAAAATTCTTATTTTTGCCTTAAAATTAGTTTTATCTTAGATAACAGATGCCTTCCAGTGGTTTTCTATAAAGCAATAGGCTCTCCACACTTTTTTTTGAGAAAAATGTTTCCAGTCTAGTCTTCATACTTCTTTTAAGAAAGAATGGTTCACCATGAAAAGATTAGTTCATCTTGCAAACTGCAACAATTGCAGAACAAAATCTGAGTGCCTTCTATTTCCCATTTTGCCACATAGAATGTTATGATGTATACTCATAACTTAAGATGTAATAAAATTACTATGTTTTACCCTTTCACAAAAGTTAATTGAAATGGGCCTTTTTAAAAAGTGCCTTTGAATGGGCCTTCCTAAGTGCCCTGAGATGAAGAATAAAATGATTCTTAATACAGTTCCGTGTGGTTGCCTTTACACAGCATTGCTTTTATTTATTTATTTATTTACTTACTTGTCTTTTTGAGACGTCTCCCTATGTAGTTCAGGCTGGCCTTGAGCTCACTCTGTACAACGATCCTCCTGCCTCAGCCTCCTGAGTGCTGGGATGACAGGTGTGTACCATTACGCCAGGCTTATTACACAGCATTACTTTTACACCATTACAAATGTCAATGAATTTGTGAAGAGGCATTTAATGTCTTACTATTCTCATGAAAATAGTTTTAATATCTCAGACCACCAGAGAGTCCTGGGAGCTCTCAGGAGTCCTGGACCCTACCTGTGATGCTACACTAATCCATTTATGGGAAACAGTTTCTCTGAAAATACAGCATCAGAATAATTAACTTCTTAGTTTTCCAACTCACTAGTGAAAATGAAAGTTTTAGAAGGGGGAAAAAAAAGGAGGATATCCAAATGTGTCATCCAAATTCATATTATCGTTCTCAGAGTAATCACATTAGGAGGAAGTGCTAGGCTTTGGGGAGCTGATTAATAAAGGCAGAGCCTTAATATTCGGGATTAGTGTCCCTATAAAAGAAAGCTGGCTGGCCCCTCGCCATATGAGGAAGTCTATGTGGGTAGGCCTTCAAGAGACACACAGTCTGCTAGTGTCTTAATGCTGGGCACCTCAGGCTCTAGAACGGTCAGAAATAAATGTTTGTAATTTATAAGCCACCTGATTTACATAGTTTTGTTTTGTTGTTACACAGCTTTGTTACAACAGCCCAAATGGACTGAAACACAGTAAGATGAGAGATAATAAACATCAAGGAAATGGGAAGAGTAGGAAAAAAGGAGAGATTATTGTGGAAAGAAACCACATAATTACCCTTGTAAGTACTATTCCATTGCTGCCCTGATCTTACAGTAAAGCATGAGAAATAACAATGAAAAT